TCAACTTCCAAATTTTCCAACTTCCAAATTTTCCAACTTCCAAATTTCCCAACTTCCAAATTTTCCAACTTCCAAGTTTTCCAAATTCCAAATTTTCCAAATTCCAAATTTTCCAACTTCCTAAGTTTCCAAATTCCAAATTTTCCAACTTCCAAATTTCCCAAATTCCAAATTAACAAAATTCCAATTTCGCCTATTCCAAAATGTTGATATTCTAATTCCCCAAATTTCCATATCCCCACATCCCCACATCCCAACAAAATGAACAAAGTTTAAAGTATTACAACATTGTCTGCTCTAAAATTACATGTATGAGATCTATCAATCTACCATCACACATATTATGCATTTCACAAAATAATCAGTTGTTTTCAAAGTTACCATAGTTTTTCAAACAGGAAATCTTCAAAAGAGTAACTATCCTCACTTCACTGCATTCATAATTATACCCTCCTTGGAACCGTGACTCGTTCAAACGTAATTTGCACTACTTAAACATGTACTGCCTTCTACACCAAGGATTGGCGTAATGAATTTTTTACCTGCTCCGCTGATTTTCATGGTTTCTAACGCGATATTTTCTATGGAAATATACACGACAATTCATAGTTTCACCTATAATATTCACTGAAGTACGCTCTACTCCCGTGACTGTATCAAGTGTCTTCCTGTATACTTATTCTTCTCTCACTTCACCACTATCTAATATTTACATAAATTAGATATCTACTCACCATTTAAGAAAATGGTCCACGTTGGCAAAATTCGAACACACAAATTGTAAGAAGAATTGCAAAAATCTTGCAAGAATTTGTGAATAAAAAAATGAATTTGTGAATAAATTTGTATTATATTTGTAAATACGAAGAGCGACATGTGTCCTTGGTTATTTTGGTCGAGAGAAAATCGCAATTAAAAGGAATCGCGCGAGCAAAGAAATCAGAGGAAGGCTAGAAAGTCGCTAACCATACCGAATAAAGCGCTACGCCTTGACTTCTAACCGTGGTGGTTTTTCATCGGGCTGAAACAAGTCCAGTCACCGTACGAAGGTGCATCAAAGTCCGCCAGTGGAATCGCCATATTCAGTCTGTTACACCTTGGAACCCGTCGCGTTATCGTTGGTAGTAAAATTCATCGACACGCCTATCAGCGGACTCCTCTCCCACGGTTCTATTAATACTATTCTCAAAATTTCTTTCGCGAATAATAATTTTTAATGGAACAAATGAAAATTTACCATCAAGTTGTATGCGATAATCGTAAGACACGTGGAGGACTCATTTGGGACTCTTAGGACTATTAACATTTTTGGGGAAATTTTGAAAATTATTAACTCCTTGTTATTAATATTGTAGGTTCTGTTTTAGAACGGTAATAAGAAGGTTTTCCAAAAGAAAAAATGAAGATTTGCAAATAAATTCCATGTGATACCAGCAAGGCAAGTAGGGGTACCACTAAGGGTACTCTTAGGACTGTTAACATTTTTAGGGAAATTTTGAAAATTATTAACTCCTTGTTATTAATATTGTAGGTTCTGTTTTAGAACGGTAATAAGAAGGTTTTCCAAAAGAAAAAATGAAGATTTGCAAATAAATTCCATGTGATACCAGTAAGGCAAGTAGGGGTACCACTAAGGGTACTCTTAGGACTATTAACATTTTTAGGGAAATTTTGAAAATTATTAACTCCTTGTTATTAATATTGTAGGTTCGGTTTTAGAACGGTGATAAGAAGGTTTTTCAAAAGAAAAAATGAAGATTTGCAGGCAAATTCTATGTGATACCAGCAAGGCAGGTAGGGGTACCACTAAGGGTACTCTTAGGACTATTAACATTTTTAGGGAAATTTTGAAAATTATTAACTCCTTGTTATTACTACTGATAAGTTCTTGTTTAGAACGATGATAAGAAGGTTTTCCAAAAGAAAAAATGAAGATTTGCAAGTAAATTCCATGTGATACCAGCAAGGCAGGTAGGTGTACCATTAGGGAAACTCTTAGGACTATTAACATTTTTAGAGAAATTTTGAAAATTATTAACTCCTTGTTATTAATATTGATAAGTTCTTGTTTAGAACGATGATAAGAAGGTTTCCCAAAAGAAAAAATGAAGATTTTTCAAGTAAATCCTACATAATATTAATAAGGCAGGTGGACGTCCCATTAGAGTGACCCTATTGCACATCTGTACTTCTATTATACAGTAACGTTATTAACAGACCTATAACAATTTGATTACCTTATAAAACTCTAAGACTCAATTACAAAACTATAAAACAATAAAATCGTGAACTCTACTAACTGTAAGCCTACAAGATGGCAATTATAAAATATCAGGGATCTCTTACCGGTTCATAAGTAGAGTACAGACTACAATAATGTATAAATTCGTTAACAACATAGGTAAAATATTCTAATTCCATCGTAGCGATTGTCAGCAGTCCATGATAAAAATTTCCAAGCCACATTAATTCGCGTAGCGCGCACGCACACACGCTTTCCGCGCACGTGGAATTAATGCACACGGTGCATCGTTAATTAACACAGAGCCACCGTTCGTGACGGTGTTACATCGCATAGAACCGCTTACATTATTCTTCCTATGTCCCTATTATTCTTCCACCCTCCCCCGTCGTTCATTTTAATGATACGTATCTTCTACCATCAATGTTTAACATGGCTAGTTATGCGCGAATTAATGTAATTTCTATGATGGAGCATTTTTACGTCGCGTCGTCTGCCGGCGATTAGATCAATTTCAATTTGCACTCACAAATTCCTCTCAATTATTGCACCAGACGATCTACGTCGCATCTGGCTATCCTAGGGAAGATCTGAAAATGGAAGATCTCTCATTCGGTTCTTAGGGATTTTTTAGATATGTTGGAAGAGGAATTTAGGGATCTAGGGATATAGGGATCTAGGGATCTAGGAATTTAGGGATTTAGGGATTTAGGGATTTAGGGATTTAGGGATTTAGCGATTTAGGGATTTACGGATTTAGGGAGTTAGGGAGTTAGGGAGTTAGGGAGTTAGGGATTTAGGGATATAGGGATTTAGGGATTTAGGGAGTTTGGGATTTAGGGATTTAGGGATTTAGCGATTTAGCGATTTAGGGATTTAGGGATTTAGGGATTTAGGGATTTAGGGATTTAGCGATTTAGGGATTTAGGAATTTAGGGATTTAGGGATTTAGCGATTTAGGGAGTTAGAGATTCAGGGATATACGGATATAGGGATATAGGTATATAGGTATATAGGAATATTGGAATCTACAGACACTAGAACCTAGGTACAATGAATCTAGTGACATACATATTCCAGATATCACCAAACAGCCCCATCAGATAAAAACGGCGATATAGTGAGCGCGTCTCACAAGACGACACATGGATGTAACTCAACTATTACTAACTATAGAGTAACGCTGCTTTACCAGTAACTAGTAATTTATTATAAATTAATAAAAATAGTGTCTAAACTCACCGGAAATTTGCTACTGTGAGTTTGCAAATTGGCTGCCTGTTGAGTCTGATTCGAGCTCTGTTCTTCCCCGTAAAGCGGTGGCATCCTGTATTCTGGAGCAACGTTCTGCCCAGAACTTCGAAGCTGGTTGTCGTCTAACGTGGCGTTCCTTTCTATACCGGAAGTCGTCCGCGATGATTGCTCGGCTACCGTCTGCACCCTGTTCTCTTGTTGGCCGTTCTGGGTCTTTTGATTGTTCGGCACCGGTTTCGGTGGTGGTACAGGCTTGTAAAGTCCCTCCTCATCTGAAATTATATTTCGTACCCAATTATTACGGATCCTTCTGAATCCTAAATCAGTCGCGAAACGAACGAGAGAGGTACAGTAGACTCTCGTTATATTGCCACGGTCTCTACTTCAAAAAATATATGCAATAAAAGATACAATTTCATGAACCGTCGTATTTCGCCATTGTACAGTTAATAATCCGGCATGACAACAATGAGAATTCTGATTAAATTCCATTGTTCGGAACAAGGAGCAGAGAAGATACATAGAAAAAGTGTATTGCATTAGACCTTAATGAAAGAATAATTGCTATGTGAATTAATTGTCCACGTACAGTTTGCAATTAAGTGTGTACTCGGTATAGAGGTACACTTAGTTCGAGCATACTTCGACGTATCCAGCATGGAAAACATCCGAGCTTAGATGTCTTCTCGTGCAAAATAATTAACATTACCGTAACGGAATTAATGTCTGCTTGTAAATTATAATCGTATTACGTTTCCTGTATCGTGTGTTTTGCCACATCAGAAACCGTGAGTCGTTCAGATTCCCTAATTATGAATGATAATACTGTTACGGTTATTTATCCATCACCATTTGTGTCATGGAATATGGGAAAAACAAAGAAAAATCCATTCATATTGCATTAGTTACGGTATAAGGTATATATACCATCTTTACGTTTAAAAAATTTCGAACTTTTATCATTTTGGGATTTTTGAAGATAGTGTAGATAATTTCCAGATAGTTTAGATAATTTCTAGATAGTATAGATGATTTCTAGATGATTTCCAGATGATTTCTAGATGATTTTCAGATAATTTTGCAGATAATCTTCTAGATGATTTTTCAAGTCGTCTCAAATAATTTTTCGAGTAATCTCTCAAGCTTCCAGATAATTTCCAATCCCTCAATCATCCAGATAATCTCACAAACAATCCCTCAGATAAACTGCGATCAATCTAAAGTATTTTAATACATCTTCGAATGTAAATAAAATATGGATAAGTAAGATGTATCATGAAACGTGAGTACCTTGATTTTGATTTTGCCGCCTGAGACGATTCTCCTGCTTAACTTTTCGAACCGTGGTGGCCATCGCGTGTTGGCTGACCATTTCTGAAGGATACTCTCGCGAATGCACCTAAACCCTCTTTGTCACACGCCTCGCTGATTTATCGTTGCTCTCGAACAATGTCCTATTTCACTCTATCACCGTTTCGTCGAGGAACGTTTTTCCCGATACTCGAATCGATGTTTATCGTCGAGAAACACTCGCGGCATCGAGGTGAAAGTATCTCCTCTCTTATTTCGCAGAAAATGCTGAAAATTAACCGCCAACCGTGAAACTAACACGAGGAATAAAACGTCGCTTCAACATCTTGCGCTTGTTCACCTTTTTTTACTACATTTGCCACGCTTTATTTTTACCGCTTTAGATAACGCGTTATCTTGCGGTATTTTAATACTATTCCACGCAAGAACACTTTTGTCCTTTATTTTTTATTGCGTCGTTTATTTTTGGTCACTTAGATGGACTCTTGATACGAATGTATCTGGAGTTCATGCGTAGATGAAGATAGATTATCTGCTCTAGATATTTGGATGAGTTTACATTATGTAGTCAGATGTCTATAGTCATCTTAGTGGTACAATCAGTTAGACATTCATCTGAATCATCTGAATTATGTATCAAATGATCTTTTGAGTGATATGTGATCTCAATGTTCATCTAAGTCATATCGTGTGAGTGTTCATCTGTATTATTCATCTGATGTACTATGAAATATACATTCGAATAGTCATCGAATTACATGTACATGCATCTGAACGATCTACATCTGAACGATCTACATCTGAACGATCTGATGCATCTACGTTCACCTGAACCACAAATCTGAGATAACCACATGACTATCTGATCTACATTCATCTGAACGATAGACACCTATTGATCTAAATCACCTGTCCATCTGAACACATTCATCTACATAGTTATCTAACTAATCTAGATGTGCCATACTCGTGAAAGATGACACATCAAAGTCTGCACTAAACATAGTCCATATCTCACGATTCAGTCCAAATAAATTTTGTGCAAAACAGTTTTGAAGAACATGAAAGAACACAATTTGAATTCGGGGCACAGACACAGTAGGGCGATTTTTTCCGAGCGATCGAAGAACGACGTCGACCGAGAGTTTCTCCGGTTCTTCGAGTTTCTTCCGTGCACGCGCGAGTCACGAGCGGGAATGCCTCGCAGCTAACGAAAGAAGCGGATTTTCCACGCGAGCGGAACTCCGATCCACGCTTGAGCCCTTCTTCGACGCACTGAAAGAACTTAAACTTTCCATTGAGTGAATGCCCGGTTCCGCCGTTCTGACTTCACTTCCGGTATCGTCCCACTACTACGAATAAGAAATCATTACAAGCCAGTAGGAGAAAGATCGTAGGAGAAAGAGAGGATCGTAGAAGAGAGATAGTCGAATAAGGAGAGAGGAGGAGAGAGAGAGAGGGAGAAGAGGGATAGACATCGGGATAATTTATTCCGCGTCCATACGCAGACGGGCTTCGTGGCGCGCGTCGAACGAATATCAAACTGCGAGCTCGTTGGCGCTGCTACTGCCTCGACGATCGAGAGATCTTGCTTGCTTCGATAGTTGAGCCACTTGCAAGAATTCATCGGGTTTTATTAAAAGTAAAGAAAACTTTCGTTTTGTTTCTGATTTCGTTTGCTTTGCCTTCGTTTTACTTCATTTTGCTTGATTTTATTTGGCTACATCTGATTTCGTTTACTTCTATTTTTATTTGATTCGATCAGGTTTAATTTGGTTGGGTTTTAGCTTAATTTGGTTTGATGAAGTTTAGTGAGGTTTGATTTGGGTACATTCGGTTTGAGCTGGTATGGTTAGGTTAGGTCAAGAAAATTATTTTTATTTGATTCAATTTATTGTGATCTGATTTGGGTTAATTTGGTCTGAGTTGGTATGGTTAGGTTAGGTTAAGAAAATTATTTTTACTTGATTCAATTTACTGTGATTTGATTTGAGTTAATTTGGTCTGAGTTGGTATGGTTAGGTTAGATTAAGAAAATTATTTTTATTTGATTCAATTTATTGTGATTTGATTTGGTTTGATGTGGTTTGATGTGGTTTGATGTGGTTTGATGTGGTTTGATTTGGTTTGATGTGGTTTGTTCTTGATTTAATCTGATTATGTTAGGTTAGGTTAAATAGGGTCTGGTTACCCTATCTGTTTACGTTGAATGGAATAAATTGAGTCATCAGTATGATCATACAAAGTTATGATGATATAACGAGTTTGGTTTAAATATGGCAATATAACGAGAGTGAATTATACATAATCTTTCAACCTACTCAAAATGTACATCAAACACGTCAGCTAATGTCTACATTAATTTTAATAAACATTACAAGTGACAAAAAATGCAAGTTTAAATTATAATTATGTGAAAGTTACTTTTGTAATTAAGTAACAATAAAGTTCGTACAATGCAAGTATTTTAAAATTACACCACGTACGGTGAAGAACCGTATCCACATTTTCAACTGCACTGACCTTTGCCCAGAGCACCGCAAGCTCCAGTAACAATTACATTCCTCTACATATATCGCATTTATTAAAAAAGAGAAAGAAGAACAACGGACCGGTTATCATAAAACGTAATTTGCGTAGCTCGTGCAATTAAGAGCACGTTTCGTTGAACGGGCTTAAAGAACGCTGCAACGAACGGAAAACCTATAGACACGATCGTAAAAGTAACGAAGTGCGATTCGCGATGCGAAATCTTGGAATAACGTTGCACAAGTTCAACGGAATAGCCACGTTTGCGACATCAAACGGTCTCGCGGACTCGCAGTTGCGCCGCTTTCGTATTCAATTAGCAACCAACTGTTAAAGTTTGTTTAGATCATAAAACGACAACAATGTCGCGTCGTAAAGAACCGAGTCTGCGTTGAAAACGTGAAGTCCATTGCCGGAAGGGAAATAAAACGAAAACGTCCGAATTCGAGAGCAAACCAACTATAGCTTGGTCTCTCGTTATATGGCCCTTTCAATAATAACCCACTCACCACTGTTTGCCCATAAAATTTCATGAATGCATCGCCATTTTGCTCTTCGAAGTAGTTTGCGAAATAATTCTGTGATAGTTCTGTATTTTAACGTTCGGCAATATATCGCGAGGAAATGTAATTCGAGATCCTTAGGTTTATACGCAGCGATGCAATGTGTAGACATACAACACGTGGTGATTCAATGCGTGGATATTCGATACGTGGCCAGATAACGCAGCAATATAATATATGGCCATATAACGAATGGCAAGATAACGTGTAGATGTACGTGTAGATATCACACGACGATGTAACGAGTAATTATACAAAATATACGGATCTAGTATTAAGAAATTTAATCCAATGCGATTTACTTTATGGCCATATAACGCGAGGCGGTACAGCACGCTGTAATTCAAGATAAACCGCGAAGCAAAAATTCAGCTGGAATGCAGAATCGTTTCTTACGCATAATTTAACGTTTTAACATATCTATAAAATTTTGATCAGGAGAATATAAATAATTATGAAAAAAACTAGCTTGTCCACTATAAATTGACGATAATGACGATTACAATGTTACTTGTTCGTTAAAGATCGATTATCATACGAGTGTGTGGCATCGTCCCGCTTCAAACTGGTCTGATACCATTTTCTTTTACTCGGTGTACTTTTACTTCGCATGAAACTGGATCTTCAAGTACTTGCGATTACCCAGAAGGCAGCCATAAAACTAATAGCTTTCTTTTAGACCTTCTGATTGCCTAAGTCGATATTTCCTGTCGCGGGCCATAAAAATATATAAAAGCCACAACAGAATCATTCAAAGTCGGAATAAAATACAGAAATCATTTAGCTGATATGTTGATCAAGGTGCAGTCCTATAATTATACCGGGAACTGCGTAAGTTCAGTACTCTCGTATTCGTAAGTTAGATGCGGTTCGAGATAACGCGGACTTGTCTAGGGAAAATGGCGACGGTAGAAGAGGGTATTTGGTTGAAAGTTTCGAGGTTTGACAAATTAGGGATTTTGGGGTTCAAGGATTTGGGGATTTATGGAATTGGGGATTGATGGAATTGGGGATTGATGGAATTGGGGGATTATGGAATTGGGGATGGATGGAATTGGGGGTTTATGGAACTGGGGATTTATGGAATTGGGAATGGATGGAATTGGGGATTTATGGAATTGCGGATGGATGGAATTGGGGGTTTATGGAATTGGGGATTTATGGAATTGGGGATTGATGGAATTGGGGGTTTATGGAATTGGGGATGGATGGAATTGGGTATTTATGGAATTGGATGTTTATGGAATTGGGGATTTATGGAACTAGGGGTTTATGGAATTGGGGATTTATGGAATTGGGGATTGATGGAATTGGGGATTTATGGAATTGGAGATTGATGGAATTGGGGATTTTTGGAATTGGAGATTGATGGAATTGAAAATTCATGGAATTGGGGATTGATGGAATTGGAGATTGATGGAATTGGAAATTCATGGAATTGGGGATTGATGGAATTGGAGATTGATGGAATTGGAAATTCATGGAATTGGGGATTGATGGAATTGGAGATTGATGGAATTGGAAATTCATGGAATTGGGGATTGATGGAATTGGAGATTGATGGAATTGGAAATTCATGGAATTGGGGATTGATGGAATTGGAGATTGATGGAATTGGAAATTCATGGAATTGGGGATTGATGGAATTGGAGATTGATGGAATTGGGGATTTTTGGAATTGGAGATTGATGGAATTGAAAATTCATGGAATTGGGGATTGATGGAATTGGAGATTGATGGAATTGGAAATTCATGGAATTGGGGATTGATGGAATTGGAGATTGATGGAATTGGAAATTCATGGAATTGGGGATTGATGGAATTGGGAATTTATGAAATTGGGGATTGATGGAACTGGGGATTTAGGGAACTAGGAATTTACAGACTTGACTGATTCATTCAAAAACTCAAATATTATCAAAGGCCGATTAAAAACTAGGTAACTGACACGTTGTCCCTAGACATCACCATATTCCCTAGACATCTCCTATCCAATAGCACTCCCACTCCAACAGTTTCAGATAACATACACCATGGATCTCTTCCAAATACCCCAACATTACTCCTAACACAACACTGGTAAAAATGAAAAATCCCTAGGAGGAAAAACACCGTACGTAGCTTTCTCAACGCTCGCGACAGGCTCGTTTCAGATGTGAAGGAACGAACAAACACGTCGCATCGAAATGGCATTTGACGCTTCTCGAGAAGGGACTAAAGGTCAGTTCACATTACACGTAGCTTCATTGTCGTGTCACAGTTGTCACTGTAACAAGCATCTGCATGTATGCAACGTGAATCACCGATCAGCCACGACAATTGTCACGTACCGGTATGTTTCTCGAAAACTCACGATCTTTCTGAACGGTGTGCCCGTGTAAGTGTGTGGTGTGAATCCACCTTAACGTTCGGTGTTACGCGACGTTATCGAGACCCTCATCGACTTCCAATGCCGCGTTCCTCCGTGTCCGCGACGTCCATCGCCTAAGAAAAATTTTTCTATGAGGCGTACTCGAGTTAGAATCGCTCCTCACGATCTCACAATAAACACATTCGACACTTGCTCATCCAAAACACATTTGTTACTTTATAGAAACGCTGCTTGCATGATAGGAGCCAGGGATGGACCTAGGGACACTGGTACCCCTTACTAACCTCGCGTGACATTTGCTTTATGTTTACTTTGCATTATTAATAATTATACTTACACTCAATTGCAATAAATATTTTAATAAATTCAAACACAGACTTTGACTAAATTTGAGGTACTACTTTTTGATTTTGACCAAAAATGAATTTGACAATATTTCACACAAATTGTGAATTTTATCAAATATGTTTGAAATAGTTTTTTTTATTTATCGTACATAGCTGCAAGTGATTAGTACATGAATATTTTCAGTGAGATAAATAAAATTTTTTAAAATATGCATAATTGTTTCATATGAAAATTTGAGTGTCATATATGGCAATGGTAGTGTTCAAGTAAAAAGATGTATAGTTAAAAAATTATTAATAAGATGTATAGTTAAAAATTATTAATAATAGTATCAGTTGAAGGAAAGTCAAAATTTATGTTTGTCAGATTATTTGATTTTATTTATAAAAATTTGTTAGCAAATTATATTATGTTACGTATGTTGTTAAAATTTATAACTTCTTTTCTTTTTGCTTGAGTCAAAATCTTGAAGGACAGGGCCCCTAAGAACCATAATACGGCCCTGGTAGTAAAGGAAAATGGAGGACCGATGAAGCAACGTTTGACGAAA